GGAATACCATGCGCTGTTCTGCTTTGTTTCAAAAACAGTGTTTGCAAAAAATAAAGTATTAGACAAATCGTTGTTTTGCTATTCAAACTTTGCCTAGAATATTTGTACATAATTATGTATGATTGTGACCTTAAACCTCTTAAGACAACTCATAAAGTAACATAATAATACAAGAAAACAGAGGAACATAGTTATTTCACGACTTGAAGCAACATCGCAACCAACATCTTTATATTGTTCACCAAATTGCGACCTTAGTGGCATTACCAACCTCAGTTTTACGTGTTAAACACAACAAAAACTCTAAAATATTGAGCTCACAATGTTTGTCAACCAAATGTTCAATTCAAATAAAAGAAATACAATTAAAAATTCAATTACGCTTAATCCCGAATTCCAACAAAATTCGCATCAACTTGAACATAATAAAACTAATCATCAATTTTTTTTTAAAATAGAACATCGAAAAGTAATATCCAAGGGTTCTTTATTTTTCTGAGTTTATTAACAATACCATAGATTAACAAACTAAAATTCATTAATGATCAACAAAGTCATAAAATCTTAAAACTCAATCCAAACCACAAAGGAAGTTGCATGTGCTGTACAAATTAAAATGAACTCATCAAGACAAAACCAGTGCATGTCTTAGAAAAACCACATACCCTAATTCATGTATTTAAACAGAACACAATCAAAACCATGCAAGCAATCTAAAATTTGGAATAAGAGAAACATGCACAAAAATAGAATAAAAAAGAGTAAATTGCTTCTTCACTTTACCAGAACTAATGTAATTTTTATATCTTTGCAATATGCTCCATGAAGTTCATTGCTCTCTCTTTGCATACCCAACTACAATCATCATGAAGAATAAGTCCAACAAAGTGCACATTGTTGGTGATTCATTCAATAACCTAAAGAGAAACCGAAATAAAGAAAAAAAAACTCAAAACTTGAAAGCATGTAATTCTAGCATAGCCCTTCACTACATCAAAACCCAAATGCACAACAACTCAAATCGAATTTAATAATCAATCAATCAATTCAAGCAAAAGAAATGCAATCCTGAATTCCAAAATTCGCATCAAATTGAACCTATGACACAACTTGCATCAAATCAAGCCTACTTACAAAACTCGTTGCAAATCAAACCTAATCTAAATTGAGCAATGAACAGAGAGATTGTTTTGAACATGGTTTTATGAATGCATGGAAGAACAAATAGATTGGTGGAGAAATAGATACTTCATTCATGTCTGGCAATTAAACTCAACAATATCTTCAAGAGTCCCAAATAATTAAGAAGGAAAAAAATTTCCCCGGTACCACCACCAATTTTCTAAAAAATAGCCAACATACATTGCCGGAATAAAAATGTAGTACTATCCTTGAAAGGTGGTTGATTCAAAGCCACCGTATTGTCCTCATTGCAAGTAGCCCCCGGTCAGAAAAGAATAATTAGTGCAATTCAAACTAAAGCAAATCTGAAAACTCACTCCCACACGTTAGCTTGCCTATCAAAAAGACTCAACTATCTCAACTTTTGGATAATAGAAGCAAACCCATGGCCTCATTTTCAATTCCACATACAAACGTTCCAATTCACACAAACATTTCTCAATCATCAGTCAAGAGGACCCACCAAAGAAGCCACTGTATTATTAAACTAAGATCAACCTCATTCAATCACTTTTTGCACAAAAGAATTAGGAATAACAAAGACGCAAATTTACCCAAACTTGGAACGCACCACAGTCCACAACCAAATCCACATGCATCCTCTAACATAACAAATAAAAGAAAAGCAAAGTAGCCATAAATTAAATAGCAATAAAAAATTCAGTAAATATAAACTAAAGAAGAAGCCCAAAACACGAAAAAAATAAAAACCCAACATTGACGATCATGTCGTTGTTGTGAAAGCATATCAAATCAAATCAAATTACAGTATTCTTAGAAGGTAAAAAGTACATGCTTGCTAACAATAAACTCAAAGAGAATGAAAGAATGGTCAATTGTTCTAACACAATGCATTAACTTGCTTAACACTAGAACATGCCACATTCCCTTGTTTTGGTGTCTGAAAATGCATTACCTTCTAAGAATAAAATTTCAACAAAATGCAAAACACAAAAAATTTTCACAATACAAAAAAAATAAAATAAAATAAATCAAAGCAAAAACTTGTGAATGAGTATTCACTATGGTCTTAAAATTATGAGCATCAAAGTTATGGAGAAATGGACAAAAAAATTGGCGTGCACCAAAACTATTGTAATACCAAAGATGACAAAAACAAAGGATACCCATATCACATAAAACACAAATTATGTAAAAACAATTAAAGTCACATAATTATGGTAGTTTGTTCATTGGGAAAAAGGGCGTGATGTTTTTGAGAGACTTCTTTTTGACTCAGATTGGGCAATCAATAATGAGAATTGGATGTGGCTCTCATGCTCATCTTTTTCTACCAGGTGTGAGTAACTCTCATTCCATCAATTAAATATACGCTCATGGTGGTGTTCGCTAGTATTTTGCATATGAGCCTCCATAATAATGCACTAAAGAACTTTTGACTGGAGAAATGCTGGCAAATGAAATCCATGCCAGTTGCCAATCCCAAAATAAATAGACTCAATGAATCTTTCATATACAAATACCAAGCTTTTTTCTCTTTCAAAATTTCACTGAATAAAATAACATGATGAAATCAAGTAAGCCAGAGTCATTTTCACTTCGGTTTCCCACAGAACACCTTCACGTGCTACATAATCAATTGAAATCAAACTTGAAATTGTTCTTATGGCAAATAGTTCTTTACCACACATTTAAAGGGACATATAACAAAAGAAAGATGTTGGGTAAAATATGAATAAGATATTTCCCACAGGCATTTCAACAAACACTTCATATGCATGATGAAAACCCAGCTTAGTAAGACATCCAGCTCAGTAAGACCCCCAGTGCGTTGCGCAGAGGGGGGTAGAGAGATAGAATAGACATACCTTGATGGCATAGGGGGACTGGTAGGGCTGGAGGTTCGTTGATCGATGGTCGCTGGAGTATTTGGTGAGAGTTCACTGGTCGTTAGCTAGCTATCCACAGCCTAAGCGTGAGATTAGAGATTTAGGGCTGAGATGGAGAGGCGTGCATGGTTGATTTCGGCAGAGATGCAGAGGGATTTTCAGGTGTGGGTGAAGGGCAGAGAGAGAAAGAGAGAAAACGTTAGAAGGAGAGAGAGGTTATGAGAGAATAAGAGGCTGGTGGTGTCAGTGGAGTGTGGCATCTGGGAGAAGGGTGAGATGAGAGTGAAGAAGGAGACGCTGGTGGTGTCGCTGGGGCGAGAGAGAGAGGACCGACGGTTTGAGAGACATGGCTTGAGAGAGACCACCAGCGATGTAGGGGATGCAGGGGAGGCTGCATCTCTGACAAATGACAAATAGAAGTGATTGAGGTTGGATTGATTTGGAAAAATAACGAACGAAAAAGAGTTAAATTTAGAAGGAAACGAAAGATTGCGAAAGGCCGTCGGATGAAATGAATCGTGATCGTCCAATCAATTTGTTGAAATCCGCTGAATTTTATATTATAAATTTCTCTTCGTCTAAGCATCTTATTTTGAAAACTATAACTATTAATCTATATTATTTTGTTTTTTTTAATCATAAAGCCAATGTTATCTCTAACTGACACCTAACACATGTGCATTGTGACGATAGCCCATTTTTATTTTTTTTGGTCAGGGTGACGATAGCCCATTAATACTAGTCTGCTCCACATTTTCTAAGTAATGGATAGGGCTTTTTTTTTCTTTTGTATTACTGTTGAAAAAAGAAGTGAGGGTAAAAGAGAGTGTCTAGAAATCACCCTAATAAATTTTTATTTGTGGGATCATGAAATCTTTAATCGTGTCTATTATTCTTCTTGGAAATAAACCTAATTAGAGTAGTATAATGGTCAATTACTGAGGCCAAATGTAAATTTTAAGACTTGAACCTCCAATCTAAAGATAAAAAATTTGTTCGATATTCTACTTCAGTGGCAAGTAATGGATAGTTAATTGTTAGTCTATTATTACTCAAAATTTGAACAATTAATGAGAAATTTTTTAAATAAAAAGGATGATGGGCTGTAATGAAAATTATAAATTTCATGCATCTGACTAGAATAATGCTAGTATATGATTCCATTACAAAAAATAATAATTAAAAATTAATTTTTTTTATAAGTTAAAAAAATAATATTTTATGAGCACAGAACAAATAAGCTTTTGGAAAATTTTATTTATATCATGTTGACAGTATCATCAAGCAAATTAATATACAAAGACAATCAAGAGATATTTCAAGATTAATATTATACATCCAAAATTAACTAAATTAAAAAAAAAAAGTAGACTAAATTCCAACCTAGAAATTATTTAAAAGTTATTGTGTGTAGGTCGGATGGTGTGAATTCATGTCAAAAAATTATTTTTATTATATCCGATTTTTTTATTAATTAAAGTCTAACAAATTATGTTATATCAAATTTATATCGTATATAAATTATGTATAATTGTTCATTTATTAGGTTTTGCTCTTTTACGAGTTAGAGATAAAAATTCTTTAATTTTATTTTATATTTACGGATCATAAAAGAATAAATACTACCTGGAATTGAAAGGGTGGTTGAGATAGAGCTTATGTTTGACATTATAAATTCACCATCTTTGCTTCCACCAAATTGGGTATTGTGTACCTGTGTGAGGGAGACTGGAGAGAGAGAGAGGGGAGGGGGGGGCTCCAACCGTAGATCTTCTTCATTCACGCAAACCTAGTTTGCGTTGGTGTTTGCATTAGCTTCAAAAGAGAGACTCTCTCTCTCTTTTCTCGATGTCTAACTAAATACAAGTCTATGGGAAGTGAGAGACCATAAAAATGGGCTCAAAGAAGAAAGCAACTTCTCATAAATCTTCTTCTTCTTCTTCTTCTATTTCTCGAGAGACAACCAATATGTCGATTTCAGGCAAGTTTTTTTTTTTTTCTTTTTCCTTTGCATTTTTTCTACTTGATGTTCTTATTCCTCATCCTGTTCCTTTTTTGCTAACATTGTTGACTTGGTGAAACATGGTCAAGGGTATTTGAATCTGGGAATATGGCTTTAAACGATTGTGATATGGGATTTGCAGCGAGTATGAGTTTTAGAATTTATTATGAGAATTAATTTAGGGCTGTAAGTATGAGAGCTAATTCGGACGAAAGTGGAAAAAAAGGAAAAAGCAAAAAAGAAAAGAAAATCCGATGCTGTAAGATTTCAAGCTGCTTAGCACTTGGAAAGATGGGAAAGTTTTTAAATCCAATTACATTCCATGGTGTTATAGAATTGCTACTTTTTCTGCAGGACTTCGCGCGAAGCATCAACAGGAGCTAGAAAATTTGACTTTAGCAACACAACCTTTTAAGACCTTAAAGCTTTTCACTTTGGCTATTATTCGATATCTAGAGCAATCGGTGATATATCTGTTGGGACATAGTGGTTGGCTTATGCTTGTGAGTACCATCGTGGTGCTAATTGGGATACTGCTTTTTACTATCGATGGTTGTCATGAAAAGGTAATAAATGTTGTCAATTGGCTTAGCATCTTTGTATTTAGTAACATCTTATGTTATTTTGGGCAAATATCTCCATGACTTTAGAATAGGAATTTAAAAATGTCATGTTGAATCTTAAGGGCTGCCACTTATCCATATTTGTGACCATAAATACTGGGATCATACATACCGCTACCGTCCCACAAACTGGGGTCGCACGAAGTTCCGACCCCGCATTATAACTCAATTCACAAATTGACTCACGATCTAAGTAACTCCATATCATAACATCTCATATCATAACACCAATTCCAAATCATAACCCTAATTTGATATTTCTATATTTTGGTGTTCTTTAAACTCATGTTTTGTGATTTCTATAGAATAAATATGTCTTCGCTATGTGTGTATAGATGCATTATTCTATATAAAAGTTACAAAACAAACCACAACCCAAAACAACATACTAATTAAGTTTACCCCCGTCGTACTGCGTATTGTAAGAAGAATCGTACCACGTTCCCATACCCATACCACGTATCATGCACCAAATTGACCCACAATCCAAGTAACAATGTTTGTGACCGTCTATCATTTTGATGTGACCTGTCAGAATGGTTTCTGTTGTTCTTTTGGGTCATTTTGTGAATTATTGGATAGTGAAGTTCAAGTCTTTTCTTATTTGATGAACATATTTGATTTACTTTGATAACTGGTGAATAAAATGATACTTTTCATTCACATCTTTGTGCAGCATGTTGAGGAAGTCCTGCAATATTTATGGTTTGGCTTATGGTGGATGTCCCTTGGTGTTGCATCTTCTATTGGTCTTGGTAAGCAAAATTAATGTACATGAACAGTATGCTTGTTGATGCCTTGGCAGGTATTCTTCGTGATAATTTGGTACTTTATTTTGGCATTTTGTTGAAGGATTATAGAAATATTTTTCCACACTCCATGTGTGCATGCCACACATTATAGTTGAGATGGAGACTTTGGCTCAGTGAAATTTGACTTTTCAAACTTGCTTGAGGTCACATAAGTGCACCAATTATGCAGGAGAGAAAGGGGAGGGGGAAGAGGAAGGAAAAGGGAATGTTGGAGGTTGAAGAGAGGGACATCAAAATATGTTTGAGACTCCGAGTTTCTTTATTAGGCATGAACCTAAGTGTGATATTTTAGTTTACAATGTATAGTTGCATTATTAGTGGTATGTGCCACAATGTTTTGGAGATCAAAAAAAAAAAAAAAATTCATGCGTCTCTTATAAGGGGTTTCAATATGTAAAGTTTTGCCATGCATAAATTTACACCATAAGAACATTGTAGATGGCTGTGAATGTACACATAAGGTGCCTATTATTTCTATCTCATATATTTGAACTGAAATACGAAGTTTGAACCAAACAAGGATGTTCGTGCTTGCCACAAATATGTGAACTACTGAAATTGTAGTATCTTACGAATAGGATGGCATTGTTTCTGGCTACAAACACATTCAAAATTTTGAACTTTTTTCGGTCAAACTGTCAAAGAGAGTATGAAGTTGACTACATTAAGTTTCATGTTGAATGCAATCCCACATGAGATGGTAAAAACTGAAATACTTGCCAGGATGACAATAAACCTTCTGTTTATAAAGTTTTTCTCTGAATCTTTTGACATTCTTCCGCATTCAGTTTGTTGGTTATGTGTGTGTGAGAGAGAGAGAGAAAGAGAGAGAGGTAATGTCACTGTGCCTATTGACATTCTAAATCAAATTTTCTTTCTGGTCTTTGTGGTCCTAATAAAATGAAGTTGTGGGTTTTTTATGTTCCCATATATTTCCTGTGCCTTTGAAGCCTATGACTTGACTAAGCGAAGTCTGAAATAAATTACCGGCTGCAGGAGTATCAGCATATCTGATTTTCTTACCGTGCCCCACTAATCTTCCTTGAACTATACAGTTAAACATATAACTGATGAAACTGTAATCGTTCTCCATTGTTTTCTTTTGTGCAGGATCTGGTTTGCACACCTTTGTCCTTTATTTGGGCCCTCATATTGCCTTATTCACGATAAAAGCAATGCAGTGTGGCCGAGTTGATATTAAAAATGCTCCATATGATACCATACAATTCAAAAGAGGCCCTTCATGGATTGACAAGGATTGCTCAGAATTTGGGCCCTCAATGTTTTCATCCTTACACGGCTCACGAGTCCCGCTTTGCAGCATATTGCCGCAAGTCCAATTGGAGGCTATTCTCTGGGGCATTGGAACTGCACTGGGAGAGCTTCCTCCATATTTTATTTCCAGAGCAGGTATGGACACTAATCAAATGTCTACGAGCTATGATTTTCTAATGTGTACTATCAAGGAAAATAGCTTGTTGACCTTTTTGATTCCATAAGTTGCACAATGGAATAGCCCTCAAATTTATGAGAAATATCATGCCTTAGGAGTGATATAAACTTGTAAATAAGATCTTCCATTGTGGAGGCCTGGGCCATTTTATAGGAGAGTCGTTGAAATTGAACTAAAACTCAAGGTGGAATTTGTCAAGCTAATGTTTAAGATTTCAGTCATAAACTCAGCTTATAATTGTATATTTCACTTAAATTCCATTTCTGTTAAGTGGTATGTGGATGACCCTCAATTACCTCACTTGGTGGAGGCTGAAAATTCAAAAGAGGCGATTCAGGGAGTTAATGTTCTTCTACAGTGTGGCAAAAAAATGATAATTGAATGAAAAGGAAAAAATAGTAGAGTTGAGCCCAATGCCCAAAATCATCCCTACCCCCTCCTGCCAAACCCCGTTCTCCAGAGAGAGAGAGAGAGAGAGAGGAATGGGGTTGGTGTGGGGTCCTTCTGTAAGTTAGTTAATTGGGGGACCTCTGTTAATTAAATTTTTTTACCTGGTAATGAATGATCAGGTTTTGTCAAATTTTAACCAGTTAAATGAAGAAAAAATTAGTCATTTGTTTAAAACGTTAATGCTGATCATTTACTGATGCGAATTGGGTCGATATCTGATTTTTTTAGATATTAGGGGATCACAGTATTGTTTTGACAAAACTTGGGGCCGAGTGCTGATCACCCTACTATTTAGAAAAGGTGATAGGTCCTGAATGAACAACTTTATAACCGTTGCCATTGCATGTGGAACAAATTCCTTTTGCATGTCCATATATAGTGATGCATGTCCATATATAGTGATGCTATGAATATGTGACATTGATGGAACTTCTCTTCTATAGATGTTTGCTACACATGTCTTCTTGGAGTCAATCTAATGTTGATTGTTGTAGATTACTTGTAGAATCATGTTATCTTGAAGAACTGATAAGGTTAGAGCTTGAATATGAGTAGCCATTTCATGCTATCATTCGCCGTGAGAGTCTATATGACGCCAGAATTCATGCTATTTAGCCTGGATTAAATGCACTTTATTTTATTTTTCCTGAGAAGGCATCTTCTTGCTGTTGGGAGCCCTCTATATAAAGATGCAATTACTAAGTTGTATCATGCTTTTGTTAGCTGGTCAAGGACCTTTACAACCGAACTAATTTATTCTTCAAAAATAAAGCGCATGCAGCACGTATGTCGGGTGGCGAATTGGATGCCATGGAAGAATTAGATACTTCCTCGACTGAAGATCATGGTGTCATAGCTACTCATCTTAATCAAGTCAAGGGCTGGTTCCTATCACATTCACAGTACTTGAACTTCTTTACCATTTTGGTGCTTGCTTCGGTTAGTCTTGATTCCTCACCCATTTTTTAATTTCATCTCACTTACAATAATATTTTTGTTAATTTTTGTCAATATTTCAACATATGACTATCTGCACCTTTGAGTTCCTCTCGTGTAATGAGCACTCAATGGTTTCTTTGTTGATCCTCCCTCTCTGCCCGCCAAGAAGAAGAAGGGGGGGGGGGGGGGGGGGAGGAGGACCTTGGTCTCATCATATCTGTTAATTATTACTGTGTACTCTGTTGTTTAACTATTAAGTATTTTTACAGGTGCCAAATCCGTTATTTGACCTTGCTGGCATAATGTGCGGACAGTTTGGGGTTGCTTTTTGGAAGTTTTTTCTTGCGACAGTGATTGGGAAGGCTATTATTAAAACTCATATACAGGTTTGTGAAGGTTTCATGACCATACTCTTCTGATTTGGTCGTAGTTTAGACCTAGTATTGGTGCAATTACACTTAATGGTGATTCTTTCTTTGCTATGTATTTAGTTTTTACTGTTTTAATTCTTAAAGCAAAAATAGATCACTATCATGCAATGAAATACCATTACAGTTTTTGCTGGCTTTGTGAAGCTATGAAGTCTGTCATGTTCTTAGAGTCCTTGCATTGGTTTCTGATTAGGTTTTCGGTTGATTACTATTTTGCAGACAGTATTTATTATTTCAGTATGCAATAATCAACTTCTTGACTGGATAGAGAATGAGCTAATCTGGGTGTTCAGCCTTATACCTGGTTTTGCTTCTGTCCTGCCCACCCTCATTGCTAAACTCCATGCCGTGAAATACAAGTATTTGGCAACAAAACCTCCTGCGCCCTCAAATATGAAGGTACTGTCTTCTTAGATGAGTCATCCACCAGGTGTTTTAGGGAATTTGACTGCAGAGCACACTGCATTGCTCCCCAAAACAGAAAAGTTCTATTTCATTTGTTAGTTTTGATAATTGGATTCTGGTTCGATTTCTTACATCCAGCTTTCTTATCCTTTCCCAGGGGACGAAGTGGGGCTTTTCATTTGCTTCAATTTGGAACACAGTCGTGTGGTTCTTGCTATTGAACTTTTTTGTCAAGATTGTGACTGCAACTGCACAGAGGTACCTTAGAAAACAGCAGGAAAAGGACTTAGCTGATTTGGAAAACAAGCCCTCAGCATCCAGGGACACAGCTGACTCAAAGCTATTGTCCCAGTGAAGATGCGAGATTTCATTTACTCCCTGTTTTGTTTTCTTCTTTCCTGTTTAGAATTAGGGTTGATAAGATTTTACCGACAACTTTCATAAGTTGCCATTTGAGCCACCCAGAAAACCCTCCACATCAGAATCCACTGTCTGCATGTTGTATACAAAGGTCTGAAATAGCAGGTTTACTTAACCGGTGTAGTGTAGGGAAGCATCGTTTCATTGTTAAGTACATTGGAACTTCATTATTCTTTGGCAATTCAAGACAAATTGTATGCTTGTGCCTTCAGCAGGCTCAGAATTCTGGATTTGTACATCAAGGATTGAAGTACTTTAATTTGCACTTAACAGTAATGAGTCTCTCTTTCTCTCTATCTCCCTCTCTCTCTCCAACACGCACACACAAAAACCACATTAGGGTTAGACTATTTGTGCCGGGTTTATTTTTACCCGGCACAGCCCGATCCTCAGCAAGCCGGGGACCAATTTGGGACCACGTCTACATGGGTTCAATCTATTTCAATTTTCTTGCCTTGGAAATGAGCCACCAGAACCTCAACACAGTGGTGATCATCAGCCAAGTTGCAAATAAACTATGTTTAGGTGGAAGGAAAGTAGGGCTTATTGGCTTTCAGGTTTTATTATTATTTGATGAAGTTAATATTTTTCGTAAGGAAAATTTCACTTTGAAAGATTTCATATTTCTCATTTTGTATCTTTAAAAATTAAAATTTTCACATTATACTCTCATTGTATCAAAAGTGTTACAATGTGGTCTTTCTGTTAATTTTTTTGTCAGTATCAATAAGTTAGTTTTTGACAAAAAAAAATAACGAAAATTAACAGAAGGGTCACATTGTAACATTATTAATATATTGAAGGTACAATATAAAAAATTTAATCTTAAAGGTATAAAAATAAAAATTTTAAAATCTTTCAAGATACAAAGCGTGAAAAGTTTTTTTTGTAATTATACTATCATAACGGTTCCCCTTAATGATCCAAGTTATATATTACCTTATTATTTAAAAAATATAACATCACAAAAAAATAAATAAATAAATAATAAACATTTTAGTCAATCTTCTTCACTGTTAAGCATCATAATGTTTATCTTTAGTATTAGAATTAAGTATTGTGTTCCTAAGCAAAGCTTAGGCTGGTTCCCGCGGGCCCCACCAGGTTAGATGATTCAAATAGAGAATGGTTTTGACTAATTCTATGGCCAGGGGATACTTCCCAAGGATTCTCGTTATTATAATGTAGCTATCAGGCATGTCTATTCTGTTGGCTCAATTGAGTTTCGTGTTAAAAAACAATATTTCAGTTATATTTGTTTATTTATTAATTCGTGTCTAACGAATTGTGTCACATCGAAATCATATTATATATGAATCATATATAATTAGTATATAAATAAACCATGTCGTATATTTTTTTTTGATTGATTTTATTCATATTCGATTTGTTTATTAATTATTTCGTGTCGGGTCCACTCGTTTACTAAATAAGTGACTTAGGGAAGACTAAAACCCTATAATTTTGTGTCTTGTAAATGGGCCGTGTCATATTTTGACATGCCCCCAAATCTGTTATAAATATAATTTACAGAAACCTTGAAATTAGGTGTACTAATTTTGAAGACTTATATTCTTCCAAATGCAAGCCTAGTTTACTGATCTAATGAGGTACGAGATGTAAATTTGTATAAACAACATCAAATTTCTCTAACAACATAAAATAGGATTCAACTAATATAAGTGATTTGAGGGTAATATACAAATATTCAAAGATTGATTAGAATAATTCTTCATTTAAAAAAAAAACACTTACAAGCCATCATGATCCAATCCTCTTATTTAAATAAATAGCATACCTGCTTAAAGAAACAGTTTGTGACTCCCCCATCTGCAGAAGTGCATCTAAGTGCACATAAATAATGAGAGAGAGAGAGAGAGAGACCAAGATTAGTTGTTTAATCCGTGAGAAATTCAAAGATGCTTTAAGATATGTTTTGGTCCATCTCCAATAAACTCACTAAAATAATGATGGGTGATGAGTGTCCAAATTGGCTTAGTGGTTGATTAAGGGATTCTAGGGGATTACATTGTCAGGATGCACTAAATTATTAATTAGTGGGAGATCCAAGGCTTTGGTCTTACTTAGCATGATGAACCTTATATTAATCTACAAAACCACTTCCTCTTTCCAACTTCCTCTCATATACGTCCAAAAATCACCTAGGAAAATGGTCCCAAAAACATCAATTTTTTTAAGAAGGTCCTACACAAAGTTTAGGAGGATAGTGGTTGGTTTACTGATGATCACCGTTTTTATTGTTTAATCTTAAGGTAGTGAGTTCAAATTTCATCATTTTTTTTTTTTTTTGTAAGTACTAAACAACAAAGTTTTTGAGGTGAGCGGATGGCCATAGGTCATCATCCCCGTTAGTGAGTTTAAACTTCGTCATCTCATAACCTCGTAAACAAGAAGTTTATGAAGTTAGCGGATGATCATCATAGGTTACCGTCCCTTCAATCGAATCTTCAGGTTGCGAGTTCAAATTTTATTGTGCCCCTTCATATAATAGTGCCTAATCCGGAAAAAAAAATTTCTAATTACTATACAACTTTCAAATATTTTGTTGTTATCTACATCTAGGGATGTCAATGGACCAAAGCGGAAGCGGGGTGTAGTCTCCATTCCCGGTCCACTCCCGTTAACGAGTATAATTTTAATCTCCATCCCCGTCCGCGGGTAAATTTATAATCTCCGTCCCCATCCCCACTTCTCCCATACCTGCCTAAGCTCAAGCCCAAACATAAACCCAAGTCCAAAACAAATTTATTTTGAATTCGGAGAGCTATGATTGAGCATCGAATTTATTTCATTTCACTGGTTAAATTTTGATGAAACTAAGCTTCCAAAACAAAGAAGCCATCCATCACCACAATACCAAGATCATCTTTATATCAACAGAAGTTTCTAACCCTTGTCATGTTATACTCCCAAGTGTTACAATTTTTGGATTAATATCATGGGTGGGTTTGACCTTATGACCTCCCAAGCTCTCCAATAGGGGGTTCATTTGGAATAATTGGTTGGACGGCACAAATAAACAGTCAATTACATAATCTACAAGGAAAATTTGAGCATCTGTTCAAATAAGAGTAATCAATAGGATAACTAACCTCTCCAATATGGATGTTACAGTGAGAGTAAAATTACTGTGGCTACACAATGCCCACATTCTGTAATCCAGTGCATTGAAAGAGAAAACTAACCGTTGCTTTCTTTTCTCATTCTTCCTTTCTCTGTCTATTATTTTCTGTACAAAAGGCCAGTTGTTGTAGGATTTGAAATTTATTTTTATTCACTCTACGTTGAGGAACAGCAGAGGGGCAGTTAGCGTTGAGGAACAATAGAGGGTAAAGGCAGAGACAAAGCGATGGAGACGGCCGGCTGATAGAGAGTAAGTTAGAGTTTTAACTGGGTGTAGTTTTATATATATATATATTTAACGGGTACAGCGGGGACGGGACGGGGATAAGGATAAGTTCATCCTTGTATGAGTTTATACAGATATCTCTGTATACGTCCACCATCTAATACGTATAAATTATCTTCGGTCCAAATGGAACAGATTTGTACAAATACCCATTTTTTTTCAGTCCAGTGTCATCCCTATCTACACCTTCCCAATCACATTATCCTTTATTTAGATTTCTTGTTGTTTTTCGTTTAACTTTCTCAATTATACAATGCATGCTATTTGAACAAAATTGATTAAAGATCTACTTCTTGAATTTCTATTTGATTGGCTCGCCCATGACAGGATGAACCACTGGCTAATGGGCCAGCCCATGGGCCCAAAACTTTCAAAATTCACACCACTATTTGAACGGTGTTTCGTGAATAAACGCAAAGTCTTAACCAGCCCAAGAATGTGGTTATGTGGGTCTCCCACCACCCTAGGAAAGTCATAGATGGGGGACCACTGTTGAATGGGTGGGGCGGCGAAAGCATTGAATACAGGCCTTTTGAGTCTGAGATATCAAACCCAGTACGTGAATCCAAACCCGGTCTACGTAGCTCTCTATGTGTGGAATTTTGGGACTCCTAACTGACACCAATAAGACAGCAGACTGTCCTTTTGTGGGAACCACTTACCCCTACTCTCTCTCTTTCCCTGATTTTCTGGTTGTTATCCTGTTTTTGTAACATTGCTGTCTGATCTGTATAAAAGGTTAATACTATTGGGTCCCACCCTAAATATACTAAAATGTGATGGGTCCCACTGCTTTTTTTCAGTGGTAAAGTTTGAGTCACCTGCCTGTTGTTCCACATTAAGGTGTCACAGCCAAGTGGTTTAAAAGTGGGAATTCTGTTCCCAAGCACTTTACTTTATAAGAGAATGTGGCTTTACTGTCACTTCTGTGGAAAATTATCCATTTACAACATTAATAGAGAGAGAGAGAGAGAGGTCCTAGTTACTTGTTTTCTGAACACTAGTTTACAATGTAGTAATGAGCACAATGTAAATTAGAGTTCTCCAATAAGAACCACCTTTTGAGACTTGGAGATAATAATCCCTATACCGACATGTTTTTACAAATAAAAATGTAATATTGATGGTAATATTATTTATCAATGATAATATTTAAAATACAAATAAAAAAAATAAAGTAAACGATAATGTGAGGCGCAAACTGGATCTCTATCTTAAGATAATTTATGTTCATTTGTAAAAGAAATACTTTGGGATACAATAGCTTAATCTTATTGAATGTAATTTCACTCCGATATGCATAATCAAATGAAATAGAAGCTTTGAAAGGCATTGTTTTAATTTGCCAAAAAAACTTAGGCAGTTGATGAAGAAGATAAAAAGAATTGAAAGTAAATATTTATGACATGAAATAAATAAAAATATGTCTGTAGAGAAATAGGTCGTCGATCAGCTCGAAATTACACCGTCTTCTCCACTAGTCCGACCTTTACACACGTAAAAATCTCAATATCTCACTTAACTCAATGATTATGTAACACTAATATGATCTATAAACTCAAATTCTTTATAGAAATTTAATCAATGTGAAATTAAATTTTTTCCCCAAAAAAAATACTCCTTTAATTAACTTCTGAAATTTCAACAGAAGGAAATGGTGTTCAATTTTCAGGTTCAAAAAGCTTTGTTTTGTAATTTGCTCTCTTTTAAGGCTTGAAAATTTCAAATGCTTGCAGCCCTTTTGTTCCTTTTTTTTTTTGTTTCTAGTCCTTTATACAAAGAGTAAAAGTCGAGTGTGAATAGAACTTTTTCCCGCTTTTTATTTATTTAATTGATAATTAGGCTGTGATCCATCCCAAGCTTTGATTATTTTATACAAAGGAAAAAGACACAAAAAGAAGAAAGAGAAAGACTTTGAATTTTCCACCATACCAAAGATTTGGCATCACCCTCCACCCCCCACCCACATATCTCACATGCGTTTTCTATTCATCTCTCTCTCTCTCTCTCTCTGGGTAATTGTGTGGGGTCAGAGCAAGTAATAATCAAATCTTTCAAGTATCAATGGTTCAATGAAAGTAATGGGGTTGATTCCCTTTGTGGGTCCTTGCTAATCTTAACCTAAAAGGAAAGTAATAAACAAAAGACAAGTAAATCTTATGTTTTTTTTTTGTCAAATTTAAAAGGTTAATCGAAAAACAAAAAACATAGTGAAATGACCTGGAATAGATCCAGATCTTCTATAATATTTTTTTAAATTTTTTTACTTATTATTTATAATTAATAAGTGAATGACCTATTTGTATACAATAGGTCCTACTTAAATGTATAGATGATCTACAAAAATTCAAAAGGTATGACTAATTGTCAAAATTACCGGTACCATATAAAAGTTTTTGATTTAAATAGATTAAATTATAATTCAAATATTATCAATTAGGTTTTTGATGAACCTAAATGTTTTAAGCTCTCTACAAAACCATAATTTTAACCAAAATGAATTATAATTAAAATAATATTATGATACCAAAAGTTTATTTTTTGGGATCTTATCAAAAATGAATTTAAGGTTTAAATCTTGATTTGAATTATTATCAAACATGAATCATAAATTGAACTTTAATCAAATAATAAATAATAAAAATAAAAGGGTTAGAATATAATTTTCACAAATTTTCCAATAGAGTAGTAGTCTTTCCATAAATGCACGCCCATTCTATGACCAATCAGTCAACCCCCAAAAAAAAATTAAAATTTATTTATTTATTTTTAGTAAAAAATAAAAAACAGAGCACAGTGGGTACACGTGTAGAGATGAGAGAAGTGAAAAGAATCCACCCTTTTCCGGCACTATAACTGGACACATGTGCCCACAAATGAGTTTCTGGAAGCCAAGCCCAAAAACAGATAGGGGCCCACTAGGGTAAGTAGGGTCCACAATAGGTGATATTATTAAATGTTCCTATAAAATATTCGTATAATAATAAAATAATGAAATATTTGTAATTTAATGGATGGTAAAAGATAAAGTTATGATATCTTCGGAATAGACAATGGCCACGTGTAAGATGCTGACTATAAAAGAGCCGCGCCCTTTTCAACAACTTTGCTTTGTCAACCAAACACTGCTAAATAGTTTTTTGTTTTCAACAAAGCTGCTATATTAGAGAGAGAGAGAGAGAGAGAGAGAGGAGTTGGGCGGTTTGGTGGTGGGTTGAAGGCTTTTAAAGTGATCTATTTTTTTTTTTTTAACTATTGAGAGATGTTGGATCAGTTTAAGTACACATGGACTAATTTTCCTTTATCACCAAACAAGCAAAGCTTTATCTCAAGACTAGAAGAAATTGCTAGGCTTCTTCCCCGCTGGATATAGCCCTAGAGACAGACACAGACAAACCCATTAAATACCCCCAACCCCCTACTCCTTTTAATTCCTTCACAAATCATCCCATTTTAGTATGAATTGTCCAAACTGATTATGACATCGTCAATACCACCCCCTCCCCCCCTTCTTTTTTTTTTCCCAAAACACCCTCAAAAAAGATATCATCATCAAAGTTTTCTGGGCCAATAATATAAGCACCCTTCCATCATCATCATACAAATAGATGGACAGCAATTAAATAAAAAAATTGAGGCCTTACACATTAATATACACCCTCCAGTACACTTGTAAGTCCAAAAGATACTGTTTTAAACTGCTCTTCCATGAAACTAAACCCCCAAGACACAGAAGAGGAAAAAACAAAGACAACAAAGTAGAAAAGGAACCTCTCCTATTCTTCCCCAGGAACAACTCTTGGAACCTGTCCTTCACATCTTCCTCCTTTTTTTGCCAATACAAAATGCTGATAAAATTTTCTTTCCTTCCAAAACCAGCCTCTTACCATCAAAAAACCAACCAATGGAATTAATTAGCAACTTTGCCATCAACCCTGTCAGATTATAGACGAGTGTACACAGATACTAATTCACTCAATACTCGTGCATTCACATTCCCAACAAATTCAGTGGGGGATGATCTTCCCACTCAATTCAACTTCTTCCCAAAACTGTGGGGGTTGTTCATCCCAGAACTTTTTGCTTCGAGTCTTGTGCCCGCCGTCAAATGTATGCCAACCATCAACGGAGCACCATATTTCATTTCTTCTCAGGCTGCCAGCATGCATGCAAATTGTCATTGCCTGGTCAAGAAATTGTGGTTCCCTTAGTAAAATCACTACCCCATTTGATTTAAATCTTTATTAAAGATTGATATTCCCTGAAAATAAATGGATGTTGCAATCTGGAGCATATGCTTATTGAATTAGAGATAAAACTACTCACCAGCAGGTTGTTTCTGCTCAGCCGGTTTCACCTGAACTGCAGCAGGCCCTGAGTGAACATAAGAGAAGCTGGAAGGCATGACTGGATGGGGATTTCCCGAGGACTGTGCAGCAAACTGGGCTGCATGGAGAATGCCCTGTGATGGTAAGCTACCACCTTTCATATTACTAGCAGCTGCAGCAGCCGCAATTGCTTTTGCAGGATCAGTAGTGGTGGCACTGGTTAGCGAAACGGGAGAGCACAGCGATAACATCCCACTTGATGATGTAGATGATGAGCCCGGTGGCTGTTGAGGCTGCTTATGTTGTTCAGAATGCCTTCTTTGAAGATAGTAACCACCACCTGATGCGGTAGAACTAGTACTAGTTGAATGTGGAGATTGGGCTTGCACGCAAGTAGTTGAGAAGAATATTTGCGCTTGCTGCATGTTTTTTGGTAACTGTTGTTGCTGCATTTGGGGCTTAGCTCCAGAGTTTGAAGAGTTGACATGAGGACTGCCAAGAATTGATGGAACATTCCTCCCACCAACCGGAGATGACTTCTGGCTAGAAGCTGAGGGTGAATTCTTCGCCTGCTGTGGTGGCAAAGCAGAGGCTTGGCCAACTTTGTTACTAGCGGGAGTGGAAGATGTCCTTGGGCTTCCGCTAGCAGTAGCACCCTTGGAGATTGAAATTGTCGGGGAGCCAATCACCATTGGAGGAGAAGTAGACTGGTTGTTACTTGGAGGCTGTTGCTGTTGCCCATGCAGTGTTGTCGATGATTTTTGATTCGCGCTGAATGATATCTGCGTATGGCTTTGCTGTGCTCTAGTTTGCTGCTGAGGGAGGTTTTTTAGTATTGATGGGGTTGAGGGGGCCAGCGATGACGGAGCTTGTGAGGTGGTTGCTCTTGTATTATTTTTCCATTGGGGAGATTGAGCAGGGCTGCCGCTATTGCTGCTTTGAACAAGGTTTTGTGGAAAAGCAGTGTGAGCATTTGGAAACTTAGCAGGCACAGAAACTGATGAAGTCAAATGCTCTGAGTAAACACTCCCATTACTTGTTGCTGGGGTCTTACTCCGAGCTGCCACAGCGGCTGCAAACTGCTGCTGCTGCTGCTGCTGTTGCTGCTTATGAAGCTGAATCATCTGCTGTTGCTGATGGTGCAGTTGAGCTTGCAGCTGAGAACTTGAAGCATTCAAAGTGCCAACAGCACTAGGCATGGGAGAACGAGAGGTCCGAGCAGGACCAGAAGAAAGATTCACAATGTTGCCTGGCATGGCAGAACCGGAGGAATCGGTCAAGTCCCTTGAAAAAGCAATGGACGGCCCAACAGTTGTCGGAGCCTTGCCTTCTAAGGCCTTTCTTTCTTCGTCAGCATTAGAAGAATCGCTACCTCCAGTTTTACCATCTTCGGAGACTCTGAAATTCTTCTTTTGTTGTGCCACTTGAGCTGCAGCTGCCATAATTTGAAAGCTCTGCCTTGTAGCTTCTGGGAAGCTCTGAAGAATTGCATGATTATGTGCCATGGATGAAATGTCAATACCAGGAGCACTAGTAGCACCATTTATGGAAGCAAATGACATTGCAAACGTTTGAGGTGGCAAAGATTCAATTCCACCTTTCAAGCCCTGCTGTTGAGGTTGCTGCGGCTTTTTGTCATTTACGTTGCCGCCACCACTGGCAGTGGTGGCACCAGCCAATGCAGCAGGAGGGGTCATCAAAGCAAAGTTGTGTGGATGAATTGGCATAGCAAAATTCTGACCGTAGACACTCATTGTGGCACGAGATATTCGACTATCAGCTGTTGAGGGGCTATCTTCTGCCCCCACCTCACCTTCCAGCTGACGTGATTGTTGTTGTGCCAAGGAGACATGCTGATTCTGATGCTGATGCTGATGCTGATGCTGTTGCTGTGATGGGCGATTTTTTGTGGCAGGAATGTGATGTAAATTTCCTCCTCCATTCCCACCGTTGGCAGCACCTCCTTGTGGCCTCTGCTGCTGGCTCTGCAAATGCTTCTGGGAAGATGAAGAACCACTAGAGAAGCTCGTATTCTGGTTGGCTTGTTGCATTTGGTGTGACTGAGAAAGTGGTGCTTGCTGCTGCTGCTGAAGATGTGATGGATGGATCATCTGAGAAGAATAGAATGACCCATTGAACAGCGGCATAGCCTGAGCATGAGTTCCTCTATAATTTGGCGGTGCTCCAACAGCTGGTATTGGAAAAGGGTATGCATTGTTCTGTAAGATTGCCAAGTACTGGGTTTCATTCGTAGGCATATTTGGGTAATTGAAGCTCATCGCAGTGGCTGCTCCGGCTGTTGTTGCAGAGTTACTCACATTAGCAGAACTAGAAGCATTGGATGAAGCTAACCCTCTTGTGGTTGTAGGAGACTTTGTAGATGCAGGTCGAACAGAACCAGCTGCCACTGCCGCCTGTTGCTGGCTCAAAGGGAAGATGAAAGCAGGGGCATGCTGCAAACCCAACAAACAAAATCAACCAAATTTCAAAAATCACACCAAATTACTAGAGTTCCTTGGATGTGATTGCAATGCAATTCAGAAGAAGGTATCATACCAGAATATTACTAGGGGCTACTGGGGGCATTGCTTGCTGAAGCAAAATCGGCTGCTGCTTGCTCTGTGCAGCATCAGCAATATTGGCAGCTTGAGGACCTTTGTCCTTCCCAGTATGGCCAGGAAAGATCGCAAGACCTTGCCCCTTGTCCTGCATAGAGTTCATGCCCCTACCAGAGATGTTTCCATTCAATTCTGCAGGTGGTACAATGTTGAGATTGCTGGGCTTGGCTCCAAACAAAGATGCAGTCCCTGCTGCAGCTGGCCAGAAAGGGTTCATCTTCATGAATTGCTGGAGGACGTAAATGTTCCGAGCAATATAACAATGTGTTGCACACCTTTTCGGCCGTGGTTGAGAGAAATGTGGCTGGACAAGTTCATAAGTTTCACAATTAAAATGGGAAAGGAGGAAATGAAGTCAAAGTTGATCCAAGACTTCAGAATCAAACACCATAAGAATTAGGAACTAACGAAAGTAGCAACATGTGATACCTGCATTGGTGCCGACATGGCGTTACCATCCATGGACACAACTCCTTGCAATGGTGTCATGTATCTGCTCATGATCAGCAGAGTTATTTCTCCAAAGAACACCAAACCAATCCACCCATAAAATACTGCTACAATTACTAAACAAATGACCATGAAAACGAAAAAATTATCAATCTATCCGAACATACCCCATTGAAGGAAGCCCACCAGGCCAGCTAGCCATAGACATTGGCAAAGGCAACGAGCTGGATTGAGCTGACAGAATCAAAAAAAAAACAATAACTCAATTAACATCCCACCAAATCCAGAGACCCCACCACATCAAGAAAGTAAATTTCCTAATAAAGAAAGTGAAATTTCTTATAACTTGTTTTCTCTGAGTTTCAGAAAAAAAAAAAGAAAAACGTACATGTTTTCTCTGAATGTGATTCTTCTCCGGTTGCTTTTGGTGGAGGTGGTTGTTGCTGCTTCTGGGCCTGATGTTGAAATTTGTTGTTTCCACTCTCTCTCTCAGGTTTTTCCAAATCAAGCTGAAGATCAATATTTCTCACTTTGTTCTCAACTGGCTTCTGCAATTGAACTTCTTCCACCGCCGATTTCACCTTTCTCTCCTCAGCTGCCACATACATAGCTTCCTTATCATCTTCCTTTGGTCTCATCATTTCCTGCAAATATCAAAAAATACTCATTCATACCTCCACCAAACCAAACAACTTGAGAAAAAAACTTATTTATCAACAAAAAAACAATCACTACTCACCGAATCAAGATTAGATATCATCGGCTTATGGTCCTCCACCACTGTCGCCGCCACCCCGAAATCGCCTTCTCTTTCCGGTGATGATCTCAATTGAGGAGGTGGAGCCTGAGAGCCAGGGAAAAAAATTTATTAGATCAAAACCCCCCCAGAAAAAGGGGAAAAGATTTTGAACTTTATCTTCACCCTCACCATCAGATCTATCTTGAATTTTTCCTCCTTGGGCTTCTCCCCCTCAGAAACCATTGAATTCCTGAACCCATCAAAAATTAACATAGATAATCAGAACCCATCGAAAATTAACATATATAACCAAAACCCATCAAAAATTCAAGAATTACAATTATGAAAAAAAAAAAAAAAATCTTTGGGTACTCACAATTTGGTTGCTGTCGCTGTCACACCCTGAAGATTATCTTCTAATCTGACCGCAGGAGGTTCCTTCTTTGCCGTGACATCTCCGTTGCCCGAAGGCAAATCTCGACTTTCGGCTACTTTTTCCGTCTTTGCCTGTGACTCCGAATCCGGCTTCATCATCTCCGGTATAGGCTCCGATGGTGAGGTCAAAGGCTGTGAATTGACCAAACTACCCAGATCGTACGGTACTCCACCATTTTCAGCTGCAGATCCTGGATTCTTATCCATACTTGGAGAAGAAATTTCGGTCTTTGGTAGCTGATCGATCTCGACCTTCGTGATCGTCGTTGAAATGGGGCTGCTCCGGACACCAAAACTCCCCATATTCTCTGATACTTGTCTCGGTCTCTTCCTCTTCGGCGCTGCAAAAGCAAACCAAAAGAACACATTTTCATTAGAAAAAAAATCTGCATTATGTCCATCCACTTGAAGAAATTGAGGGATTGAGCGGAAGAAACAGACCAACTGCTGATATGGGAGTAGCTGAGGAGCTAGAGTTTTGTGGCAAAATCGCCGATGACTGAGGATTTGTCGATGGTGAATTCGAGATCGGAGACGAAACTCTGGATTTTGAATCACTTGTGGATTTATTGAGCTCCCTTGAGTCAAACTTAGCCGATTCGTTTGAGACCACTTCTTTCTTTGAAGATTGAGTCATCAACCCATATAAAACCTCGGCGATTTCGATCTCCAGCTCCTCAGGATTTGATGAAGACGACTTCGAAGACATCTTGGCGGTCTGTGTTTGGGTCCATTCAACTTCTACAGAAACAACAACCAAATTGAGTTTTTTGAGAACACAAAAGCAAAAATAGGGTAGAATAAGAAGTGGTCGAGAATAGTGATTTGACTGACCATCTTCTTCCGAAACGAAGCATTGGAAGAAGACGGAGAAAGTGGAGCTCCCGGCGAAGGCGTCGAGGTTGAAGGAAGACTTTGTCTCACCGGTGAAGTCGAAGCTTGCCGATGTATCTGCTCTCCTCCTCCACCCACTACTCTTTCACCACCACCGCCATTCATCCACTCATGTGACCTTTTCGTGGATGCTGAAAACACCACAAAAAAATCAAAACAAAATTAGCGAACGTCCAATCAAACCATTCACAAATATAAATAATTTATCAACTGAATCAACCATCATTCCTATACCTGTCCGAGCTTTTCTGGGTACCGACACGCCGATCATTTCATCGCCGGCTTTCCACACCGGCGCAGCCCTAAAAACTTTCGCAGAGCTCGGTGGGTAACTTTTCCGGGGCTGTAAATGATGGTTGGTTGACATCGGATTCGGTGGTAGCATCCGGACCGGTCCAGTTCCATTTCCACCGTCCTCTTCATCGTCTTCCTCGTCATCATTCACACTTTCTTCTGAACTATCTTCTCCTCCATCTTCTCTATTACCACCGTGAATCAATCTCTCCGCTCTTCGTCGTTTACTCCGACTTGACCTGTCTCTGTCGCGCTCTCTTTCTCTCTCTCGATCTCGATCCCGATCTCGATCTTTCTTCAACCCTCTATCTCTCAACCTTGATGGTTCTTGTAATTCCATCGGTCCATCATCCTCTGCAATTTCACCAACAAAAAAAATCAGAAACCCCGAGAGAAAAATCAATGTAAAAAATTGAAGAATACCGTTAGATCTGAGCAAGCTTTGAACCTGGCGAGTCTCTTAGACTGTTACTTCTATGTCTTCGTCTAGATAAACCATTAGAGGGTACCATACTTGCTACTCTTCTGGCTTCTCGGTTTCTATCCATTTATCGTTGATGTTTCTTGACAAAATCAATAAGACCCAGATGAGAAATAAGGTTGTTTCTCATCCGAGACTGATATTGCAGAAGAATTCGCCAGATATTGTCAGACTCGCCGGAAATTAAAGATTCACTGTGGTCTCCGACGAAACCGAGAATCGTTCACTCAAAAATCTTTCAAGAGTTGGGCACTTCCAAAGATCTGTATGGTTCTCCCTCTGTGCTTCTCTTTTCTCTACTCTTCCCTAACTTCGCCTTTTCTCTCTATCCTCACTTTCTCTCTTCTCTCTCCCTTGTCCTCTTTTTCTGCTCTCTATCTCATCATCTTTCCGGTATTTCAATATCTCTCCAAACCCTCGTGGATGAATCAGATCAATGCTTTTTGACAAGTACTCCGATCTCCACCGTCCCATTCCCAAAACCAATCCAACGGCCAAAATCTTCTGTTTCCAGCATGGCAAAGAATCAGCCGTCAGGTTAATTGGTCTTCCAGTTACTGACACGTATCAGTTTTGTTTCGTCCTCAACAAGCTTCCATGTATTGATTTAAAAATTAATATTCTAATTAAATTAATATAATATAATAATAATGCATTATTATGACTTATGAGAGGGCACTTTTCACGATAAAACAAACTAATCTCCTGGGTACGTTTAAGAGGTTCTTTTTCTGACCGGCTATAACCGGTTTTCAGGGAAACAACCTTGGTAAAAGCAACCATGACGTTCACAAGGAATCTTGTAGGTGACCGCAAAAAATATCCTTTTCCGGTCACATTTTTTATATTTTCATATTTATTTTATTAAATAGATTATTTGATTTTTTTTATTAAATTATAGGGTGTTTAAATTTATACCGACTATTTTCCAAACTTAGTTACTATTACATTGATTTAATCTGTGTTAGAACATGTCCATGAAAGACAAAAGTTGTTAGTCTTAGATGTGAAAAGGGATTAAACATGGGAATCTCTAAATTATTAACTATTAGATTAATTTATTTTTATAATTTATTAACTTAATTTGTCATAACTATTAAATTAGTTATGGACCCCAATAATAATTAGGGCATATTGTGAATTTAATAGTTATAAATGATTAGGTCAGTAATTAAGTTCATATTTCTTTTACTTTATTTAATTTCATCATATTCATAATCTTTGACCAACAAAAACATATTTATAATAGATATATTGTATGTTGTTTAATTTTCAACCAATAAGAATATGTTACATTACTTGTAAAAAAATTAATTATATAATTTTTTATTATCTTTTTAATTAATAATTTAAATTATCTAAATCAAAATCAATAGTCTAGAATAATGAAATAAGATTGTAAAAATTAATTAAGAATGGTAAATGTTAACCGGATCCACTTATAATTATTGGTTATTAAAATATGAAATTAAATAAAACTAAAAAATAGAAAAGTTTAAATTAATGACATTGTTTAAATAAAAAAAAATGAAAGTGCGTGGACCCCATTATTGTATCCATAATTATGGTGGTGGTGATCCAAATTAAATGGGTCCCACCTGAAAAGTGATACCAACGATCAAGATCTTCCCGATATAAAAAAGGGGAACCGTCCAGGCCGTTCGATTCACATCTGACGTGGTAGCGGTGTTGTCGTGTTGATTAAATAAACCCTCCAGATTCCAAAACACGAACAAGCCAGTCCTAGCTGGCAAGCGTTGAGCAGCGAGCCAAGATCTTAGCCGTCGGAGTAGATTGATCGGACGATGGAGAGTCATTGAACACCGTGGGGTGAGAAGTGGTGGGAGGGGAAGTCTTGAGTCACGGTCACGGTCACGGAACTTCCCAGAAATGGTGGGTCCCACATTTTTCGGCATTGCCGATCTAAAGAAATTATTTCCCTATATTGTCACGTACTGTAGATGTGGCAACAACGATGACGTGTTCTGGGACCACAATCACCCGCATGATCAAATTTTTGTC